ACATCTGATTGTGCCTGTGTCGTTACGGTCACACATCTATGGAGTGAAATGGATCAAAAGTAGCTCTCTTTTAGGTTTGTAACTTATACATATCTTTCGTCTGTCATTTACTGTGTTGTCCTTAAAAAGTGTTACATGTAGTTATTAAGTTTCAACTTATCCAGCAAATCCTACTGGTAATTTATAATTTCGTAGCAATTACAAGATATTTGTTTGCTCTTCAATATGTTTTTATAGCTATTATTATCTTGTTTTCATGTAAACTACATTGTAAAATTATCCTGGTGAGAACTGACTATGAGGATAATTTAATAAATGTCCTCATGAAAAGCAATTGGATGTCAACACTACGGAACGTATTCTAATGGATATGATTAGTTCAAAAACTATTTTACCAACAAAAGTATTTTTATGTTAAAATATGTACTGTAATTATATAAATCTTTTTCCAAATTATCCTGAATGTAGTGATGTGTTAAAATGAAAGTTGTATTGGAAATGTTAATAAATACTTTTTGATTTTATAGTTTTTTATGAATGGATTGAGAAGTTTTAATATTTATTTTTATAAACATGAACATAATAGTAATAAATTTCTTGACTAAGAAAAAAAGTAATGTAAATGTTTTTATTTGTGATTTTTTTTCCTTTGATAATCATATAGAAATAGCCTAAATTTTAAAAAAGTAATTATTTATTTTACCTTTAACAAACTAATATAGATTTTTGCCAAAATAGTTTTTTTAGATGCATTGAATATGGGGAATCACCTTATGTATTGTTTGTACACAAGAGAATACAGAAAATGATTATTAGGATTCTGTGTAAATTCTATTCTTTTGGCATTTATCCATTAAAGTGCACATAAAAAGGACATTTTATCCCCTCTACGTATGTGTATGTTCGTCGAATCACGCGTCCATTACGCGTTTTCGCAACGCTAAATAGTAAATATTACGTTAGAGAATACTCTTATAACTCTCTCGTTTGACCCCCCATATTCTACTATTTTCAAAATCGTCCCTCAGATGTTTCAGGATCCTAAAATTTGAAAACCAAAAC